TGTGCTCTGTGTGTGTCGCAGTGCTGATGTATGTGTGCGTGTCGCTGTTCTGTGCTCTGTGTGTAATGACAGTGCTGTCTGTTGCAGGCCCACAGGAGTGCGTGCTGTGTGGGGAGCTGGCCACAATGGAGTGTGCAGAGTGCTTCAGAGATGCCACCTTCAGCAACACGGGGTTCAAGCAGTTCTGCTACACCTGCTCTAAGCAGGTACACTGGGTCATTACTGTATCTAGTCAGTGGCCATTACAGCTCTGTGACCTTGAACAGCATTGTGCCTTCTGAAGTGAACTTAAGGTTCTTAACTCGGATGTGTCCCTTTAACTGTGTAATGTCAGGAGTTTAGATTGGGTTTGTTCAATTCATTTTTGTTAAGTATATACATATAGGTTCTTGGATTCCTCAGTTCTGAGAAGGTGGGTATTCAAAAGTAGAATGTGAAAGTAAGTGACTAGGGACTGGTTGTATCTTGATAAAAACTCACCTCAGTTTCTCCCTGCTCCCCTTCTCACCAGGTCCACTCTCTGCCTCGGCGACAGAAGCACGTACCCTCTCCTCTGCTGCTCCCCGAGGGGTACCCCACAGGAAAGTACCTGCGCCCCCCCAGGGAACAGCTGGAGCTGTTTGCTGTGCTCTGTATAGAGACAAGCCATTACGTCTCCTTCGTCAAGTATGGGCCCAGCAGCCAGGACTGGATCTTCTTTGACAGCATGGCAGACCGATATGGTGAGGAGGGTGGGGGCAAGTGAGGGAGGGTTATTTTATTGTTGTGTTTTTAATTCTCTCCTTGAATCTGAATCGGTTGGATTTCACAGAAGGTTCTAAAGAAGATCTCAGCCTGTGTCTAATAAAACACCTAAAGCAGGTCCTCATATGCTTATTTGGAGAAGTCTGTAGAAGAAGAAAGCACACTTAGCATAAAGTTGCCCCATACTTTACAGGCATTCACCCCAGGATATATTGTACAGCAGTAGAAGCGGAGTTCTTCAAATAGATCACAATCCGAAACCCTCTTTCTTAGCACGGAGCTCATACTGTAACTCAGTGAGCCACTAGTGATCATTGCTGTGATTCCAAGTTGGCACGTTCCCAAACTTTAGTCCACCGATCCCTGGTGATCAGCAAAAGCTACAGGGGTCTGCAGGAAAGACAAATGTGGAATCAGATTTAAGGCTGAAACCGTCATCAATTCAATGTGACAATCTGTCTTTGAAGTCAGCAGAGCAGCACCAGTCTCCTTATTAATTGACTCCCCATTCACAAGGCACTGCACTGCTTCAAAATCCATTTGTCAAGGTGATGAATAAGAGTTTAACCTCATGTTAAAGTTGGTCTAATAAAGTGTTTGAGTTCAGCTTATATGTAATTATGTTAGATTTCCCCACCTAGAGGAATGTAAAAACAGGAGGGTGTGATGGTTTGAGAAATTGAAAGGACTTCCCACACTTGAAAAGACTGGTAACCGCTGAGATAGACCAAAGACATGGAATGGAAGAGCTCAAGTTACCCGAGAGAACCTTTGTGGTGTTTATCTTTATTTTGAGGCACTGTCAAATTTCTACATTATCAGCTTTTTGGCAGGTTATCACACCTGCAGTTGCCACACTGTCCTGCCGTGGACCTGTAGTATTCCACAGTCGATCGCTCACTGTTTGCTGTTTCTTTCTGTCCTTGTTGTGTGCGTCTCTCCTGCATGTGTCCACTGATCCTCAGGGGATGAAGACGGGTACAATATCCCAGCAGTGCAGCTGTGCCCGGAGGTGGGGCAGTACCTGGAGATGCCACTGGGGGAGCTGGCAGCGGTGTGCCCCCGTGACATGGAGGGCGTTGCCAAGCGCCTCTTCTGCGACGCTTACATGTACCTTTACCAGAGTCCCAGCATGGCCCTGTACCGCTGAGGGGAACTGTGCCTCTCACAGGAACAGACACATGGCTCCCTCATTAACAGGGTGACACATACCGCCTACCAGTCACAGTACTGGGAGACCCATCAGACAAAGATGAGGCACCGACACCCCTGCTGCTGGCCGGCTGGGGGTGTCACACATACTCTCTATGGAGGAAACAACGCCTCCCAGGCAGGATATAATGCAAGCCAGGATGGGCAATACAGTTCACTGCCCCAACCTGGACAGCAGTGCTGCTCTGCTGGCAGTCTTTGGAATGTCTGCCACGGTGCCCAGGAACTGCTACACAGCTGGTACTCACTGGCACAGCCTGGAATAGGACACACAGCCCATATAGGCATACTGATGCAAAAATACGGTGATTGTTAAACTAAGTTAATTTTTCTTGAAAAGAAAACTAGATGACCGATCATTTTTGTTTTCAAATATATTTTTCATGCTGAACGGACCTCCAATTTGATTCTTGTGCCAAGTTGTGGTACTAAAAAGTACAACCAGTCAGTCAGTTCTACAGTCACAGAAGATCTGTCCCTGCTCTCGCTCTCTCGGTGTCAGCGTTGGAAAAACAAAGTGAGCAAATTCAGTTTTCAGTGTCCATTACATCCAGAATTCACACAAGATTTTCTAAAAATTCCTCATGCTGAAAGTTAATTAGTATACATTACCCTATTGATTCTATTATATTACTGAAATGTACTGAAACATTACAATGAAAAGCTGTCATAATGAAACCTGAATCTGGAATGTAATGTGCAGCAGTTTGATGAGTAGATCACAAGTATTTCTTTTTCTTTGTGACTGGAGTCACTAATCACAAATCCACTTAAGGGTCTTTTCCATTTAAATGTATAAATGTGCAAATTTATGCACTTAAAGAGGTTATATTTTTCTATAATACATTTCATGACACCATCAGGTTTTTCCATAAATGGATTGGCGGGTTTTATGTGCAGATTGACTCGGCAGAATGGGACAGCCTCTCAGTGAAAAGCCCCTGGGGCAGGTGTTTCAGTGCGGGGTGAGGCAGGTGAGAAAGAGGGTATGGAGGACAGCAGGTTTGCTGTGAGAAACTGCCTTCAGGAGCTTGGAAGGCGGTGATGAAGCCATCACCTGGAGCTGGGAGGAGCCACCGTCTCTGAAGTTTGACTGGCTGGTGGTCCGCCTGTCGGAGGGTAGCACAGGTGTCTTCAGGCGAGTTCAAGGAGAACAGAAACCTCCTGTGGAGCAGAAGGGCTTAAGCTGGCTTGATCTTGATTTTCAGTATGAACACAGACAACTGAAAGCAAGGGCCTCACCAGCTTTCTGTCTGTTTAGGGTTTTAAGCAGGACTGGCTTGTGGCAGCCAAGCATTCAAAGTGATCATATCACAATCAAAATTCGTCTGTCAAAGGAAATAGACAAGGCAGTCTGGATATCAGAGATAAAATCCCATTTTATATTATAATAAATTGTACCCACTTAATTTTAGAACCATTTTTTAAAACTCGGCTTTGTAGCAACAGCTCCTGTAGTGCCTGGAAGACGAGCTGCAAACTCCACAGGAGGGGTCCAGTCTCTGAGGTGCTGTTCCCAGGAATGCTGAGGCAGCTCTAGCTGACTAATTCCCCATCTTCTGCAAAGTTTGCCCCACTACTTTGGGAATCTTGGTCGATGGCCAAGGCTAGATAGAGTAACGTAATTCCTCAAGCTCAATTTGCTCTTCAGAAAAGTTCCTTTTCTAGAAAAGCTAGCCAGGTGCCCAGTTTTGAAACCGTTTAGTCCTGGGTTTTTTCTTCAGTGACATCTGGGTGGAGGGAGAAAAAAATTGCAAGGATATAGTGCTGCCAGTGTCCTTTGACATTCTGTGTGCTGCTTTGCCCGTTTGCTGTATGTTGCAGCTGGTGAATATGAAGTCTGTCCCTCACCTGTGTGTGCCATAGGGAATAGCACAAGAATGTATCAATTAATGGACATGAAAATAAGCGGAGAAATCAGGTCTGTGTGATTCATTAAAAAAAACATAGAAAAGGTTGAGATTCAGAGGGAAAGTACAAATGGGAGGTCCAACTAGCTCCCCTCTCCAGCTTAGTAACTTGGTCTCTGTAACTCAGGGCTGTGTCGTTACAGGACATGAACACAATCAGTTTTTTATTATTTAAAATGTATTCTGACCCCTCATTTAAAAAAAAACCTTAGCTGGGTGTTCTCATTTTTTTAACTCTGCTATATTAGCACACTGTTCATGTTTTTAATTATTTCCATAAATATAAACAGGTCCATCTGAACCTTTCTTAAGAAGGAATGAAAACCTGGCCCGTTGCGCCAGCCAGAGTGACCGGATACTGTACTGTACATTCTGGAGCATAAGGGAATGTCCTGCACGGACAGGCTGCAGACCTGAACTGAACCTTTGTAAAGAGTGAAGATTATGGGGGATCTGAATCAAGTATTCAAAAGCGTCAAAAACCTTAATAAAGTCAACCCCTTGAACTTGTTCAGAATCAGCAGTTAAAGGAAAAACTAACCACAGGTGGAAGCGGTTTCAAAACAGAGAATGAGAGACTAATTTACCCAAAGGGTTGTGGGAGAATGGAGCAGGCTTCCCAGCCATGTTGCTCAAGCCGATATCCTGGCCTCTTTCAAGAAACTGCTGGTCGAGATTCTTAGATCAAATAGTTACTGAACCCCAAAGGAAGCGAATGGCCCTAAAGTCCTCCCTTCGTTGGTTTCCGTGGTCTGTTATTATATGCCCTTATTTCTGTTGTAACCGTCATGTGAATCCATGCAAGTACATTCTGTGTGGGCAAAACCGAACACACTGCTTCAGCACGACACACCATTCTGATGTCTTCAGTGCAAAACGCGCTGGGGAGAAAAGGGACAGAAACACTTTCCTCTCTTTTTTACTTTTTATTAACACTGATACGATGTGGAATGGTCTCTTGGGTGGTACAGCAATAGAAACCCACTGTGGCAGTCCCCTCGACCCCCTCAACCCCTAGATGTTCATGTCTGGTGTCGTCCTGTGCACTGGGACCCTGCTGTGCTGTGAGGCAACTGTCTCTAGCAGCCTCGCCCTTCCTTCAGCTCAAGACTTTGCTGTGTGGACCCAGCTGCTCCTGCTGCTCCTGCTGTTCCTCCTATGGCTCTTGAGTTATTAGCGCAATTTCTTTCATTTGTATGACGCATGAAGCTAAAAGGTGAGGAGTGCAGCCCTAGCAAAAAAGAGCTTTATAAAACAGATGAAACTATCTGCCAGTCTTGTCCTACCATATATAAAATGTTAATCAGCAGCTGGAAGAATGAATCGGAGCCCTTTCGTGGAGTGTCACAGCACTGAGGAAGGTCAATTTGAGCAAAGAGTGGCACAGGAATGAACTACAGTGTATCAGGACCGATGAGACAAGTCTTTTGAGAATCCTTAAGACATCTATTTTAAAAGGGAGTGAATTTTGTTCTTTTTATTTTCAACAGGTACAAAGTCCTATCTACATGGCTGGCCTAGCACTGCTAAAATAAAGCATTAAATATCATGTAGTCCATTTTTTGGTCAATGTGAAACAGCCTTTCCGTATATAAAGTGCAGCCTGACTGCACTGATGCAATTAAAGTCTTTAAAATCAAAGAATCGCACAGGGAGAGCAGGGAGAGTCCAAAACACAGAGGGAATGGACAGTAAAAAGACTAGAATAAACATGCAGATTCAACAACATATTGCCACAAGGGGGCAGAAGATTCAAATGGGTATGAAACTGATGGCTCGCAAGTTTGTAAGGGCAGAATTTCTTTACTCTCTCCTGGGTGAAGCAAACACTGGTGCTCCCTGTATCCCAGCTCAGAGGAATCATCTAAATAACTACTTTAGCCTCAGTACAGCAATTACCCAGATGAAGTGCAGGTGTTCTTTAGAAATTAATCAGGAAGCACTTTTTTACTTACAACCCCACCTACTTAATTGGATTTAATTAAGCACAAGGATGTTATCTCTGGCACAGGTTAACAATTATGAATGCTGAAAATAAGGACCCTGTGCAGGGCTCAAGTAGGCGTATTTCCCCAAGTAGTAAATAGAGAATCCAAATAGAAAATGCCACCGAAAAGAAACAAGTCCTAATATACTAAATCCAAGGGGCAGGTGATAGTCAAAACCGGGAGGAGACAATACAGCGAGGCAACCAATCCTTTCGCAAAGGCAGAAATGTGGTCAGAATCAAGAATCGAGAGTAAGGAATAGAACAAGCTATACTGTAGAAGGAGGGTATGTGCACTAGGGAGCTCCAGGGAGAATCCGAAATAGTGAGTAATGGTATGGGAAAAAAAGGAGGGCTAAAGTAGTGACAGGAGTGAAAGGCAATAGGAAGATCAGTTGCGGCGTGAGTGTCTGTTTAAGTGGGTGTGCGTCGGAATGTGAGGGCATTTGTGAGAGCATGTGGAATGCGTGACAGTGCGAGTACATGCAGAATGCGTAACACTGATTTCTTGCCAAGTGTATGGAGCTACAGGGCTAGGGTTACAGCCCCCCCTCCCTAATCTAATAAACTGGACTAAACTACTTCACCATGCTGACACCCTGGCAGGTTCCCTGACTCCCTTCAGCTTCTGGTCCACAAGTTGCTAAACAAGCAATCAGGGTGACTGTCTGTGGCCCTCCTGATGTTCAGACAGAACGGCGTGTGGGGCAGTAGTGTTTCCGTGGTAATCAGTTCTTGACAGCTGAATTCACTTCCAATCTGTAGTACTAACATCATGAACAGGCTTTGTTGGTTGTCTAAAGCAGCTCATATTTAAACATCTTTACATTTTTAGCTTAAATCCTGGATGGTGTGAAACATACAGACATAATGTAGAGCTTTGCTTTAAACCAGCGCAATAACACCATACGAATTTGGTTTTTATCTATGGTTTGAGCTGTATAAAACAGGCCACTGGAGAGTCTGAGCTGCAAACTGGAGGTCAATAAAAGCGAAGACCTGGGAGAGATATGTACCACAGTGGCCCTGTTAGATGACAAAATTAATTTTTGCTCAATGAAGCAAACAAACTGAGCTACAGTACAGAGCCAATCCTTTGCTGCCTCACTCACTGGGACACAGTGACTGGATACAGGGCAATGCTCCACAGTGGATTGTGATGGCAAAAAGGAAAAAAAATAGAAGGCAAAATAAAAAAAGTTCAAGCTTTTTCGGTTTGTGTATTATGTACAAATATTGTGTCACGTCATAGTACGTCAAGTCTCAGCTTTCTGCTACACCCTCTGAGCTTCACATCCAACTGTCCACTTTCTAACCACTTCTTCCAATTTAGGGTCACAGGGGAGTCGTAGCAATGGCAAGCAATGGACACAAAACAGGGTACACCCTGGATGGGACGCCAGTCCATCGCAGGGCAGACACACAGACACACATGCAGACATGTACACACTCACACCAGGGCCAATTTTCCCAGAAGCCAATTAACCAACCCGTTAAGCTTTTGGAATGTGACGGGAAATTGGCTCACCCAGGGGAAACCCACACAAACGCAGGGAGAACTTACATGCACATAGCACCCCAGGAATTGAACCCAGGGACCCAGCGCTGTGAGGCAACAATGCTAACAGCATCCTGGATTTGATTGTCACTTTGATTGCATTCTACTATGTCATCGTGGCTAATCGTGTCTAGAATAAACCCCCAGAGAGAGCTCTAACTTTTGAAACAACTTCACATTCTCTAGTTTTTTCTTAGTTCCCACATTACACAATCAGCCCTGAACTGGCCTCCCAGCGGCTCTTCAGCTCTTTATAAGCCTTTAACATAAACCTTACTAACAACAAAACTAAAATAATAGTAATCGATGGGCTTTTGCTGTTTTGTTTCCTTACAATCAGCTTCTTTTCATTTTTCCATAAATTTTGTGAGTTTGTGATATAGAAGATTTGAGATGGGGGGGGATTAAAGGTTAGGGGTCAGAGGTTAGTCTAGGCCACAGTCTCATAATACTCAGAGTAAAGGTTATATATCATATATATAGTTGAAGGCACAGAAAGCTGCATCGTACTTGAAATTCCTTCAAGACTAGAGGTTTTTTTTTGTCTATTCCAGTTTTCTGTTTCACTTTTTCCCATTTGCTGTCTTTTTTGTCAATTTTGTTGCAGAACTTAGGAGATGCAGAAAGTCCCGGGTTGCGGGGTCCTTGCAGGTGCGTTTCTACGGAAACGGCAGGGCTACCCCGCGGCTTCCCTGCGTTCCTCGAGTCTCCTCTCTCCAGTCCCTCTCTCTGCTGGACAGCTGCTCAACTGCGCTTCGCCACCATCTGCTGCCGCAGCTTCTCCCTCTTCTTCTTTTCCATCAACCTGTGGGAAGACGGGGGGGAGGTGAGAGAGGCACCGGGATGGGGAGAAGGAGGAGTGCGGCGGGTTGATAGGGGACGAGTGCTCAGAGTGCTGTGAGTGCAGTCACGCAGACCTGTGATTGCGGGCCTCGATCAGCTCACTCAGCTGGTCCTGTGCTGCCCGCAGCTCATCCAGGCTCTGCTGGTAAGTGTGGTCTGCCGGCCCTGTCCTCTCCAGCACCGACACCTGATTGGACAGCTCGCTGGTGCGATCTCGAAGCCGCTGGATGGACGAGTACAGATTCTCGTCATCCTCCTCCTGCACACACACAGACAGACAAAATGCTGACATCGCCACACAGGCTTTAAAGCACAAATGGCGGCACCAACCCTGAGGAAGAGTAGTGTTGCAGGGTACGGACTCATGCACACTCACACCAGGTCCAATTTCAGGGAGAACATACAAACCCTGTGTAGCGGCAAGGCTTATTAATAAGGCAGAATTAAGTGTTTCAGAGCTTTCCCAAATTAGGCCTCATCTTTCTGTTCATCTCTGTGGAATAAAGAAACTATTCATGCAGGCTGATTTAAGGTTTCCTTTGATAAAGTTTCCTAGGACAGCTCCCAAAGGGGGATGCACTTAGCTAAGCCTGGCTATCATGATCAATGGTCATCCATTGGCGCCTATCTGTCTAGGGAGTGCCAGAT